ACTACCACTACCACTACCACTACCACTACCACTACCACTACCACTACTACTACTACTCCTACTCCTACTCCTACTCCTACTCCTACTGCTACTGCTACTGCTACTGCTACTGCTACTACTACTACTACTACCACCACTACCAGTACCACCGAGCAACCGTCGAGCAGAGAAAACCAAAATCACACTTTCGGGTGGTCGTGGGGCTGTTTTTGTTCTTTGAAAGGCGAAAACACAGCTTTGGGCTGCGAAACTGCGTTTTTGCCTTTCAAAGAGCAAAAAACAGCCCCACGACCACCCGAAACTGCGATTTGATTTTGCCTCCACCACTCCTACTACCACTACTCCGTCCACCAGTCCGTCCAGGTGGTCCGACCTCTAACCTGGACCACCGGATGGTGTCCTTCTGGATGTTGTATATTCGATGGTGCTGGTTGTCAGCAACACATTTGGGTTGCTTTGACCAAATCTATTGAAAGTGCAAAAGGACCTGAAAGATCCTAAAGGATGGTTTTGTCTCCGGCCGGGTCTCACTTTTCATACTGCTCGACATGCTTCACAATTGGAAAGACACCGTGTTTACAAGCTGCAGAAGTTCGGTCTCCGGCGACGGAAACAAACTCAGCTCACCATGACGCCGTAACTTCTCGCATTTGCTCAAGAGCACACGCGCACACGCAGCCAGCGCTGACTGGAGGCGGCCGCTTGGGCAGCACCACATGGAACTGCTGGATGAACTGATTTGTATATTTCTGATGTTCCTGTTGGGTTTGTTGAATGCAGCTGTATTAGGAAGATCGGACCAACAAGAGTAAGAGATCAAGCGCTAAGCAGAACTCAAAATCTTTCCCTTTGGGGCCCGACATGTGCTCCATAATAATACATACTACCCAAACCCTCCATGGGACTAAAACAAATTTCCGGAAAAATTAAACATTGATCAACCAGGCCTTGGAGCAATGGATGTACTAAGGTGATGGTGTTCTACTTCCGCTTCGCTGACAAGCCGGAGGACTGTTGGGTTTTGCTTTGCTGGCAGGAACTGCATCCTATAACACATTGTGGCACATGTTGACAATTGTGGGGAGTACAGGAATAATAGTGATATGATGAGTTTTCTTGGCGACGCTAGCAGGGCACTCATGCTCGCTGGCAGGGACATGTTGAATCTTGTTACTGTGTTATTCCCAGGAGGTTTCTTTTTGGCAACGCTAGCAGGGCATCCCTGCTCGCTGGCAGGGACATGTTGAATATTGCTACTGTGTTATTCCCACGAGGTTTCCTTTAACTAGCAACGCTAGCAGGGCATTCATGCTCGCTGGCAGGGACTATATGTATGATTATTCAGGAGGCCATTCTTTCCGGGAGAAGGAGACAACATAGCCATAGCTCAAGCTCAATAAGTTAATAGACGCGCAATGAACCCACACAAGGAGCAACAAGAAGGACCAATTGAATTAATTGAATGACCACCGCTTCCTGGCAGCCAGTTCGCTGGCGGCCAGGATAATCAAAGGCGACAGGAGCAACGAGGCACATACATACACAATGCACAACCGACAAGAAGGATAAGTCCTACACCGTTTTGCCTCTGGCCAGCTCGATATCGGTTGGCGGCCTGCAGGACTGGGAAGATAGTGCCTTCAAGTGGCTCAAACTCTCGCAGAAGTGGGAGGCGAGCGAGGCAAGCAGGGAATCAGGGAACTCAGGGAACTTGCGTCCTTGCAGCGCGGACCACCCTGAATCATCGCAAAAACCCATCAATGTTAAATACATCCCGATTGAAATTCCCGCTATGGAATCAGGGAACCTGGGTACTGAAACGGACCTTGTTATAGTAACAATTTCGCTCTCTATAGAACGGAGTTGCTTAGGGGTCCAGATTCTAGAGAGCTTGATGTACTAGAGCTAGAGCTATAGATCTTGCTCTCGCAAATGACTGTCCGTGAGTCATTGCTGGTGTCCGCCCTTTTCCGCTGGCCACGCAGCATCTCTATAAATTAATGTCTATTCATTTGTCTCCCAGGTCTGTCACTGCTGGTGTCCGCCCTTTTCCGCTGGCCATGTAGCATTTCTATTCATTGGTCTCCCAGGTCTGTCACTGCTGGCGTCAGCCCTTTTCCGCTGGCCATGTAGCCTTCTGCTTCCTTTTTCCCCCAACAGTTTACTGTTAGGGGTTCTCAATTCCTTCTTAAGGTGTGTCCGCCCTTTGTGTCACTGCTGGTGTCCGCCCTTTTCCGTTGGCCACGCAGCATTTCTTTTCATTTGTTTCCCAGGTCTGTCACTGGTGCTGTCCGCCCTTTTCCGTTGGCCAAGCAGCATTTCTATTCACTTCTCCCCCACGTCTGTCACGGGTGGTGGCCGCCCTTTACCGTTGGCCATCCAACATTTCTATTCATTGGTCTGCCAGGTCTGTCACTCCTGGTGTCCGCCCTTTTCCGCTGGCCCTGTCTCCTTTTGTCTTCCTCCTTGTCTCCCTTCTTGTTTGTCATTGTGTCCACCTTGTTTTCCTTCTTTTGTTTTTGTTTCCCTTCTGTTTCCTTTTGTCTCCCTTCTTGTCTTCCTTCTTGTTGATCATTGTGTGTGTGTCTGTCTTGTCTCCCTTCTGTTATCGTTTGTCTCCCTTGTTGTTGGTCATTGTGTCCGCCTTGTCTTCCTTCTGTTTCTTTTTGTCTCCGGTCTTCTCCCCCTTCTTGTTGGTCACTGTGTCCGTCTTGTCTCCTTTCATCACCCTTCTTGTTTCCCTTCTTGTTGGTCATTGTGTCCGCCTTGTCTTCCTTCTTGTCTTCCTTCTTGTTGGTTGTGTCCGTCTTGTCTCCCTTCTGTGTCCTTTTTTCTCCCTTCTTGTCTTCCTTCTTGTTGGTCATTGTGTCCGCCTTGTCTCCCTTCTGTCTCCCTTTGTCTCTTCCTTTTGTTTCCCTTCTTGTCTCTCTTGTTGTCCCCCTTCTTGTTGGTCATTGTGTCCGCCTTGTCTTCCTTCTTGTCTCCCTGTGTCTCCGGTCTTGTCTCCCTTCTTCTGTATCCTTTTGTTTCCCGTCTTGTCCCCCTTCTTGTTGGTCATTGTGTCCCTTCTGCCTCTTTATCTCCGGTCTTGTCTCCCTTCTTCTGGGTCACTGTGTCCGTCTTGGCTCCCGTCTTGTCTTCCCTTTGTCTCCGGTCTTGTCTCCCTTCTTGTTGGTCATTGTGTCCATCTTCTCTCCCTTCTGTTTCCTTTTGTCTCCCTTCTTGTCTTCCTTGTTGGTCATCGTGTCCGTCTTGTCTCCCTTCTGTTTCCTTTTGTCTCCCTTCTTGTCCCTTCTTGTTGATGTCTTAAAAAGTGGACTTGGGAATGCTTCGTTGTTGTCCCACCTGTTTGGGGTCTACGGTTGCGTAATTTGCATTATTTCTATGCGTTTGTCTCCCAGGTCTGTCACTGGTTGTGTCTCCGCTGGCCACGCAGCATTTCTATTCATTTGTCTTCCAGGTCTGTCACTGCCAGTCCGCCCCTCCTGGTGTGTCCGCCCTTTTCCGCTGGCCATGGAGCATTTCTATTCATTTGCAACATTTCTATTCATTTGTCTCCCAGCTCTGTCGCTGTTGGTGTCCGCCCTTTTCCGCTGGCCATGGCGCAACCCTATGCATTTGCAATTGCAACATTTCGATTCTATTCGCCCTTTTCCGCTGGTGATGCAACATGTCTATTCATCTGTCTCCCAGGTCTGTCACTGGTGGTGTTCGCCCTGGCCATCTAGCATGTCTATTCATCTGTCTCCCAGGTCTGTCACTGCTGGTGTCCGCCCTTTTCACCTGGTGATGCATCCCAGGTCCTGGTGATGCCGTTACGTAGACCTTTCGTCAGGACCACGCGTGGAAGAACGCCGAGGGCTCGATCATCAGCTGGAGAGCGAAGAAGGGGTGGAGAATCCAACTGTCCTCAGGCGAGGGGGTTTGACTGAACCTGCTTGAGCAACTCGCTGGATTCGTCTCTATTTCCGGCTCGTGCAGGGTGGAACGTGGTTAAATGACAAGCAAGAAGGTCTGACGAAGTTTAAAAATCGTTGATGGGTTTCTGGGTAACTGAACAGGACCCAGGTCTTCATGGCGGCCCGCCCTGATCAATGATTTGTTCAATATTCTATTCGTATGTGTTTACGTGTTTGCGTGGTCATGGACATGAGAAAGTGGTCTCAAGATAAATCAGCGATGATACAATACAATCATTCTCCAACGTATAAGTATAAGCTTTCTTCGAACATCTTCGACGCGCATCTCTCCCCTCGCTTTCCAGGAACAACCCTGTTCAAGAGCGAGACCGGCTCAACGGTACCACCACGCCGAGGCAGTAAGTCATATTGGGCGATGTCGATGTTTGCATTGATGGGAATGGGAATCGGAAACAAGCAACATTGGCGACGCATTTTCTTTGCTTATGCTTTAGCAAAAGTATGTTAGGGGCGATGGAAGCCTCCAGCGCTTGCTTTCGATGATTGCATTTAATTTCCCCCTCCTTAACTCCGACCAGAAGGATCAGACCTGCACCGTTTCGCCTCTGGCCAGCTCGATAGCGGTTGGCGGCCTGTTGCTGCTCCTGCTCAGAATCTTCCAACCTCTACCTTCCGCCCACCTGCACCAGGGTGGTTGGTGCAAGATGAAGACGGATCGCGGGTCTCAAGTTCCTTGGAGTGCCTGGAGGAGGCCACGGACGTCAGGGTTCCAGATTCCAAAGGAAACCATATTAGAATACGCGCTGGCTTCCAAAGAAAAAACATCAGTGAACGGGCGAGATGATGAAGATTCATGAAGACTTTTTTCTGGCTAATTGAGAAGGGTTCCAGACACTGGGGTCTGGAGCGGATTATTGTTCCTGGTATCTTTCTTTAACACGAAGGTCTGAGGAAACGATTTTAAGACCTTCAGCTGCTTTCGAAATGTGAACGCACTTCCTCGAATCTCTAGGGTCTACATTCAGCGACAATCCAAGACCCTACGTGTGGCCAGGCCCACCCATCCGAACCTTAACCCTTAGTATACTTGGGGGTATTCATTTTTGTCGGCCTGACTTCTGCAGGCTCGCCTCGAAGAAGACTCAGAAGAACGCGCGAGGACGGTTTTGAGGGGCGCGACGGCGTACGACGGCCATCGAGGGACAATGAGCCACCGACCTGGATCCCGCAGAAGTCCAATACTTTGCTATGACAGCGTGTTACAGCACTTTTGAATGATATCTTATGGAGTCAAGATTCAAGTTGTTGCCAACAAACATGCAATGGAATTCAATGAGAAGAGTCATGAACTAAAATAACCATCTGTTCGAACAGATGGCCACGATTTCGTTCCACATTGCCGTCGCATGTGTGCCCGTATACTGCCAGCGCAAGGAAACGACCTCGCCCGATGCTTCTGAAGAAGGCAGGGCGTTGTTGCTTCGACAACAATGGAAATGGAAGAATTGAAAACAAAAATGGAAAACGAGAATTGAAGACATTGTCCTTTCCTTTCCTTGTCCTTTTCCTTTCCTTTCCTTTCCAATATGCTTTTTAGGTTGCCTGGAAAAACCAGATTCACGACAAGGAAAGGAAACGGAAATGGACATGGACAGGTAGGAGTGCAATTTGTGAATATGCTTTTTCCATGCCGTCTAAGAAGCATATTGGAAAGGAAAGCAACGAAAAGGAACGGAACAGGAAAAGGAAAGGAAAGCATTTTATGAATGCACCCGAAGCCGGGGGGACTGCTGGTCGTGGGGCTCTTTCGAATGTTTGAAAGGCAAAATCGCTGTTTCGCAGCACAAGCTGTGTTTTTGCCTTTCAATCAAAAAGAACAGCCCCGCGACCACCCGAAACTGTGATTTTGCCTTTCGCTTCTCGACCGCGCCGCAGAGTCCTTCTCCCTTCTTCAAACCCCTTGTGACTCGAGGCACAGGCAATAGGCCTTTACAAATGCAAGCCCTCGTAGCACAAAATCCTTCTGCAGGGCCTTGTAGCGCAGAGTCCTGCGAGCACTCCTAAGACTCCTACTATAAGCCCTTCAAGCATTTAGACTTAGAAGAACAACGTCTTACCCATGAGGCCGCGATCAGGGCTCATAGGAAGGCATTCTGTGCTACAAGGGATTGGAAAAATGGGACGGACTCTGCGCCACGGTCGAGAAGAGAAGGCAAAATCACAGTTTCGGGCGGTCGCGGGGCCGCTTTTTTCCTTTGAAAGGCAAAAAATGCAGCTTTGGCTGCGAAACTGCGTGTTTGCCTTTCAAAGAACAAAAAAAATGCCCCACGACCACCCGAAACTGTGATTTTGAAGTCATTCTTTTTCAAGGCCCTCCCGAAACTGTGATTTTTCAGTCACCCTTACCTTCTTCAAGGCGCGAAAAACAGCAAGATTCTGTCCTGCGCTACCAGGCCACGAATAAATAAACGAATATGAAGGGCTCTGTGCTACGAGGGCTCATAGGGATTGGAATTGGAAGCAGGGAACAATTCTGCACCACGGTTAGAAAGGCAAAATCACAGTTTCGGGTGGTCGCGGAGCGTTTTTTGTTCTTTGAAAGGCAAAAAAACCAGCCTTCAGCTGCGAATCTCTGCATTTCTGCCTTTCAAAGACCAAAAAAACGCTCCACGACCAGCCGAAATTATGATTTTGGAGTCATCATTTTTCAAGGCCCTCCCGAAAATGGTATTTTGCGGTCAAGGTCCGAAAACAAAGAAAGATTCTGTCCTGTGCTACAAAGCCACGACTCTGAAAGGCTCTGTGCTACTGCTGGAAGAAGGGAAGGACTCTGCCATGGTCGAGCAGAGAAAGGCAAAATGACAGTTTCGGGTGGTCGTGGGCCCTTTTTTATTTTTTGAAAGGCAAAAACGAACATTGGCAGCCCAAAGCTGTGTTTTTGCCTTTCAAAGAACCAATTACGCTCCACGATGAGTAACTAAAATCTAATTGTAAGAACTAGTTTCCACAATGAGTTTTAAAGAGAACTTGGAAATGATTTTTTTGCAATCTAATATCTAATAAATAGCAAATTCCACAATCAATGTTAAAAGGATCTTGATTGAAATCTTCTAGTTTAAGTTTGCCTAATTCTATTTTAATTCCAGTTTAGTTAGTTTAAGAACACACATGTTACAAAACCCTATATTTTACAGTGTTTTTTTGCCCTAGGAGTGCTGGGAATAAGACACAAACTATGTTTTTGAGTAGATAGTATTTGTTTAAAGTAATCCCTTGAAATAATCATTCCTATATTAAAACTGCTTTATGTACAAACTTCTAATTCAAAAGGTTCCCTCTAGATCTGATCACTTCTGTGAAAAAATATAAAGTTTTCATTTCAATAGCTTTCCTTTGGATCTCTGGAAATAGTCATGGTATTTTAAAAGAGCTATAAGTATGTATGTAAGTGTTTCTTTCAATTGCTTTCCTCCAATGAAAATACACAAATCTAGGAAATCTACTTTCCCAGAGATCCAGAGGAAAGCTATTGAATCTAGAGATGTATAGTATTATATCTTCATTCGCTCATGATGCTACATTCATTGTGGGCAGGGAGAGATTTACCTGATAATATACCTGATAATATTTATCATTGGTGTTGCACATTGATAGTGGGCAGACGAAGAGCTGTTGTTTGTTGTCATTGACATTGGACATGGAGACTGGGCACAGACAGATCAAAAAAATTGCGGTTCGCCTAGTTCTCAGAGCAGTTTTTGAATTTTTGCACGGTATTTACAGTGTTTTCTAAGGGTTTTGAGCTAGTGTGTGCTCTCCCAAGCACACCCACCCTCTTTCCAAGCCGTATATAACGAGGCGAGGTGCTAAACCCCGGGATGCGAATTCCAAGACGAGGGAGACGAGGTAAGAATTTTTACAATTTGCACAGATGGTGGAGACTCACGTAGAAATGTTGTTTTGTTCTTCTTGTTTGTTGAGAAATGGTGTTCACCCGAAGTGACTCTGGGTCTTTTTGCTCGTGATATCCATCCGAATCCATCCATATCCGTCTCGTGCTGTTTGGGAGTTTGGGCGTTAGAGCATAGAGAGGCACAGAGTATAGATAACATCTGGATCTTTGTATTGGTTGGAGTTGCGGGGGTCTTGCGTGGAGCCCAAAGGATGGAAATCCAACATTGTCAGCAAACCTTTGTTTGGCCTGGGCCTAGCATCGCAATCACACTCAGTGGGTCAAATGGTGCTGTTTTTGGTCCCTCAACTGGTACAAGTGAGAATATCGGCAGCGATGAATCTGTGGGTTTCAGGACTCAGCTACGATTTCTGAGATCTAAAGGAGTAGTGGGCACAAATGATAGTGTATTATGGCCACGCGGCCATGTGGCCCACACTTTGGGCTCAGGTTTAGTGCAACTTGGTGAGACTCGAGTGGAGCGCTTCCACTTTAGCGTGCTGGGAGACGAGAATTCGATCATCCATCCCTGGGTCGATCGTGGCTCAATGATGACACGAGTGGTAGGCACGGGAGTGGGGTGGGCGCTGTCCGCGAGATGCAGCGTATCGCGACAAAGGGGCAACCACGGGCAATCATGGAGGTGGAGTAGGAACATGGATTGATGTTGCATAGCATTCTCGGTTTGTCACAGTTTCTTTTCTTGCAAAGCACCCTGGAAGCCTTTGCAAGACTTGCTTCCTGCTTGGTGTTCAGCTTGTGTTTTGCAGGGCCTCATGCTGATGGCAAAGGAAAGTACTGGATGATCGATGGCCGCGACGAGGAGGTTCCCGCGGGCAGCGTTTATCGGGTCACCTTGCACTGGGGAGCGCGGCTTCGTGTGGCCTGGCAACGGGAGATGTCCATCCTCAGCAGGGGCATCTCCACAAAAGAGCTGGTTGGAGCAGAGGCGAGGAAAGTGAACTGGGTGAAGGTGGTGATGAGGAAGATAGAGATAATGTAGACTGTTGATTGAAGTAAAACCCGCAATGGAAATTGTAAAATCTCGTCGCAGTCTTCACATGGGGGGCTTTATTAGTCAACAGTCTACATTAATATGTTCTTTTTTAAGAACTACAGGTTTCGTCAAGTCTTTGAATGTTGAACATTCCGGGGGAGTTGGGTGGACCCAAGTCAAGAAGTCACTAAGTCAATAACATAGTGAAGGAAGGCAGGAAAAGCGGCTGCATGGATGCATAAGGCATATCTATTTACATTGACATATAAATACACAACATGTGTCATATCTATTTGTTGATGATCATGCAGCCTTCATTCATATATTTGGTTGAGATAAACCAGACTCACCACTGCATCAGATCCAGAAGCCTACTCCTTGATTTCAAAAGCAGGATATTCAAGATTCTCCCGAGTAAGCAAGTAGTATAGGGTTGTATGGGGTATTATAAAGTTACATGATGTTCTACCAGAGCTCCGCTACGAAGCCTCAAAAGGCTGGGTCGTCCTGCTGGGTCGCGCAGCTCGACTCAGCTGGGGTCCCGACCCTTCAGGCTCGCCACCGGTACTTCGTCCTTGGAACCTGGACCAGCTGGACGTGCTTCGAAATGTCTCCCACGGAGCCCAATTGCTTCGAGACCACGCTGCGCATCGGCATGTCCGGCATGGAATCCTTCCGCTTCCTGCGGGACCAGGACCCTCCGGACCGAAACACCGCCGGGGGCCGGGAGTCACACGGTCCGCATGAGGGTGGTCACACGGTGTGAGAGGTTGACACACTGCCTGTGGATTGTTGAAGATGCCATACGCGCGGGAGGGCGAGAGAAAGAGAGGAGGGTGAAAATGCTCAATGATGGATGAGAATTGTAACTTTGCTTTGAATGCATCACTGGCCTGGAAAAGAACAATATCAATGTCATCAAGTCCTCTCTGTTGATAGATGCCCTTCCTGGGGGGAGCGAGCTGAAAAAGAGAAAGCTTGCGAAAGTAGGTCAACGAGAGCCCATGTCAGCCCTTGAGATTTCGCCTCTGGGGTCTTCACTCGAGGTTTGGAGGCCAAGCATGGACCGGTGAGTCTTACTTCTGTCTTCCTAGATGGTCAGACCTTGGCTTTGGTTCTTTGAAGTGCTTCCCTAGGGTGTCAAAAGAAGGTGCCAAACAAGCTGGTATTTGTCCTACCAAGGGGAACAAATGTAAGTATTTTAAGTGACATAGATAGAGGCAACAAGCAGGTGAAGAAGCAGATAGATGCTCAGAAACAGTTGGAGTCCAGGATGAAGAGCAAGCGATTTACCCTGCCAAGAATGCTTTGGACGCGGACGCCTCTCAAGTCTTCGTGCGTGGACCAGATGAACTTTGCAATGGCAAGAGCTGGCAGATCACTGGGAAGTATGGCCACTTGTCAGATCACGACTTTCACGTGTTCCGTTGGTTAAAATATATGAAGAAATCAGGGAATCCACCATAGCAGGGAGAGTGTTGTTCTCGAGACCATAACTCTTAAAGTCTAAAGCCATGAAGTCACTGAAGAGAAGTTCAGTGTTCTGCTGCAAATGAAACTTCTTGCACCATCCGGAAGAAAGGGCAGCCTTCGCGAGTCTTTTCACCCAAGGGCTGCTCAAATTCGTTTCTTTCACCCCAGGGCCAGGGATACATACATGGACAATCATGGACGTCACACCATGTCTTTTTGGGAGGCATCACATCAGGGGCCACCAAACCCCCCCAAAAAGAGCAGGTCCAACATCGTCCAAGCACTTTCACCAAGCCCATGCCCCAAGTCGCCCAAGTCTCCACTCCAACTCTGGACTCCACGTCGCCCATGCGCCCATCCCGCGAAGGAGTCGTGGGACCGCTCGGACCGGACCGGTCGGTCGAGGTGAACAGGTGTCGATCTGCCTGCAGATCGTCGATGCCATCATCACGGTGGATGTGCGAAGCAATATGGGAGACTTGGGAGTCAGTTGAATTTAGAGGATATGGGGTGGAACATTTGCTGCATCAGGAAGAAAGCTTCTAGAAGAAAGCTTCTAGCAAGGTTTCTCAAGTGCTTCTGAACTTCTGGAAATGAGTTCATTTTGGGGAAAGGAGCGGTTTTTCTCGGAAGACATGTGACATGATTTCTTCAGATTTCTCCAAGGATCTAGATGGACAGCGACTGGAGTGACAGGCCCTGCTCGTGAGGCTCTCAGACCAAAACTGCCGCTGAGGAAATTCGTGGGGGTTGAAAACAAGCACTGGCAAAGGAAGGCCATGCTGGAAGAACATGAAGATGAAGCCAAGCTGAATAGGAGGTGGACTTAAATTGAAGATGGTAAAGTGATTGTGTGTGTGTGTGTTGATACCACCTCGTTGCACTTGGTTTTACATTGGAATTACAATGGCTTTACAAGGGCTTCACAATTATACAATTACAAGGTGCTTTTGGAAGCTTGGCCTTACTACCAGGAGCAAGGACGCCACTAGGGCTTGATGATGGTTCCACTGTCCCGTCACAACTTGCTTTGGTGCAAGCCGATCCCCGACCCGACCGACGAAGTCTCACTTGGCGATCACAAAAAGGTCTTGGAGGTTCGCACATCGACCGCCGCATTGATTTGATGTCGCTGAGGTCACAGCTATTGGGTCATGGGAAGCTTCAACAACTGGACCCAAGAGCAGATGATTTGTGGTGAGAGGCGACGGCGACCGGCGGTTCCAAAGCTTTTCTCACTGGGTGGCAGTTCCGCCTTGTACTTCTAGCAGACGACCTTGTGCAGTTCTACTGGAACTTCCACCTACACCACATGCAGTTGAAGACGAATCTCAATATTACGGTCTTTCACTCAACAAATCCAAATGCGCAGTTATCTCCACGAGCGGAAGGCATGATGTCAGGTTTAGGGACGGAGCCCGTATGCCACATGAAGATCATGTCTCATACCTCGGGGGGCTCCTCACACGACATGTAGATAATCGAGCTGAAGTTGAAAGCAGGATTTCTGCAACGATGGCCGTATGGAAACGCATGCACATGTTTTTCAAAAACGCAAGCTGTCCTGTCAGGTGGAAGCTTATTATTGTCTACAATAGCATGATCCGTTCAAAGCTTTTATATGGACTTGAAACGGTGGAGTTGACACAGTCCTTACTTTCTAGACTCGAAAGTTTCCAACTACGCGGCCTTCGAAAGATCTTAGGCATGCACACCACATTCATCGACCGCAGAAATACGAATGCCGAAGTCTACCGTAGGGCTAATGCAGCCGCTGCATCCAGAGATAACCCCTCTCCCAAGTTAACTTGGTGCATCGAAAAGTGTTTGCATGAAGAAAGGGTTAGACTTACTGGACACGTTTTGAGAACTGACAATCGCGATCCCATGAGACAGGTAAGTTTTCGTAGGGACAGTGTCGTCCCATATACACCTCTCTTCAGAAGACCGGGGCGACCCAGAAAGAATTGGTTGGTGACCTCTTTAGATCTTTGCTGGAAGAAAAACCATGAAAGTGCATACACCAATACCCCGGAACAACAATGCCAACTTTTGCCAGATGCCAGAAATCGACTGTTTTAACCGTGTTCTTGCCACTTTGTGAGTGGCCTTCGTTATTATCCGCTATTTCATTTCACCGTCAGTTTGCTGGATCAGCCTAGCGTGTTTCTGTTTCCGACATCGGAGGTGCCAAACGGGCACTCGGTCAGGAAGGTGTAAAGTCATTTCTCTTCCTTTTTCACTTAGTTCCATCAGACCTTCCTCGTGCCTTGGCTTTGAAAATCAAGGCGAGCCCGCGGACCCAAAAGCAAAAAGAAGCGCACAACCCAGGAAAAATAAACAAGCACTAATTAGCAGGCCAAAACGAAGCATCAGCCCCCTCCAGGCTTCGTGGCAACTATGATATTTCAAGCATCGCGGTTCTGGTGCAACACAGCTCCACTCACCTCCCAACGGGCTTCCGCGAAGCATGGAGCAGCACTACCCCCACCCATGCTTCGTTCTACTTGTGCACTGACCCGGAGCAGACTGCAATGATGCTGGTGGTGCAACCATGTGCTCGACGCAACAATCCTGCCGTTTCAGCCACGACTTGACCGTCTGTCGCGTGCGTTGCGCACTTTTTGGACACCCAAGACCATACCTAAGCCCCGCAGCTCCACTCACCTCCCAACGTGCTTCCGCGAAGCATGGAGCAGCACTACTCCCACCCATGCTTCGTTCTACTTGTGCACTGACCCGGAGCAGCCTGCAATGATGCTTGTGTGGTGCAACCATGTCCTCGTAACTAGCATATCAGCCGCGCAAGCGTCCACACCCATCCACTCCCCAGCCCCGTCCACACCCAAGCCACGCCGTCTCACTCCCCTCCATCTTCCCTCCCCAGCCCCGTCCACACCCATGCGCGCCTCCCACTCCCTTCCTTCTTCCCTCCCCACCCATGCGCCTCATGCGCCCCCCGTCTCGCTCCCCTCCATCTTCCCCCCCAGCCCCGACCCCACGCGCCTCCCGTCCCACCCACGCGCCTTCCGTCGCGCTCCCCTCCACCCATGCACCTCCATCTTCCATCCCCAGCCCCGTCGCCTCCCGTCTCGCTCCCCTCCATCTTCCCTCCCCAGCCCCTGGCGTACTTCTAGGGCTCCGTCCGACTCTGCGCCGCGCGGTCTCCGACGGATCCCCAGTTTGGGCCACGTGGCGTTGGGCGCGTGGCAGCTCCGTCTTTCGTCGGGTTGGCTTTTGGATGTATCATATACCTGGAACCTGAGTGACCCCTGTTTTGGAGGGTCAACTATCCCAAATATGGCCTTTTCCTGTCAAAAAAAGGGGTCAAACGGATTCTGGGTGTATATATAATATATATCAACTGGTTGTTTTCAATCTGCAGCTAGTCTCCAATAACATTGCAACATGGCTTCTGACAACCGTTCCAGGAAGCCTGGAGCAGTATCGGCCCCCTCCAAGGTTCGTTCCAACCGTACAATTTCCCACGTTGCGCTTGTGGCACATAACGCTCCTCCCGCGTCGGCCATGCCTTGACTGTCTGGCGCATGTATACTGTGCACATTTTGGACACCCAACCCCATCGTATCAGCCCCGCAGCACAGCTCCACTCACCACCCAACACACGTCCGCGAAGCATGGACCAGCACTACCCCACTTGCGCACTGACCCAGAGCGGCCTACCATGATGCTTGCGATGCGACCATGTGCTCAACGCAACATTGCCTGTCGCACGCGTTGTGCACATTTTGGACACCCATCATACCTAATTAAGCCCCGCAACACCGCCCCATTCACCTCCCAACGTCCCTCCGCGAAGCTGGACCAGCACTACCCCCACCCATGCTTCGTTCTACTTGTGCACTGCCCCAGAGCAGCCTGCACTGATGCTTGTGGTGCGACCATG